TGCCGGACAAATTTGTAAACATGTACATTTGAAACCTGGGGAGAAAATAATACCGGCGTTCTCCTTTTATTGGAACAGCATGGCGTGGTGGCATGTGAACCACATATGTAAATAGCTTTAATATTGGACAGGTTTCAAGGAATACATGTACCTTTTTGGCCTGTTTTGTATTGCCATCCAATCCAGGTCTGTTTATATAATTCCAATGCAAATTATCATCTAATTGCAGGCCTAACTGGAAGAGAATCTACGGAGGAATACATATCAAAGTAAAACCACCACAATTACAAGCATGCATTCAGTTTCTTTTAAATTTGTACCGTAAACACGACAGCATTCTGGGGCAGGCAGCTGGGAAACTGAACTTGGATACCAGCTCGTGATTTAATTTGGACTCGTGGAGGATCAAAACGTAATGCATTTCAAAGAGGTCGTAAAATCACAGTACTTTAAATACTGTCAAATCCATTCACCCACTTCTGTAAATGTAAGCAGACATTCCAAGGCAGACAGGATTGGGAGGGAAGGTTTTTTTTAAAAGAAAAGAAAAGAAAAGCTCTCTTAAGATTGATGTATTCTGGGCAAAAGTTAGAATATTTATTAAGTGGTATACCTTTCTAAGAAATTGTAATGCAGAATTCTGCAGATAAATTGGAGGTGATTGGGTTGTAGGCTGGAGAAGAAAATAGAGTGGACAGTCAGACTGTCTTATGATCCTTCTGTTTGTACAACGGTGCTATTATGTATTGTTTTAATTTTGTTACACTCACACAGGTACAGAAAATGGAGGGGGGGAGCCAGATACAGTGATTTGAAAATGTACAGGCTTCTAGTCCTCAAGGATTCTAAAAAAAAATATGGAGTGATTCAGGAAACGATTTCGTTTGAGTTTATAACTTAAGATAGGAGGAAAACATTTTTCTGGCAGAAAATCCCAATTCAGAGATAGGAAATTAAGTAAGAAACCAGGTTTCAAATGTATATCTGTAATGTAGACCAACTGGGCATTCTTCAGTCATGCTAGTTGCACCCTGTGCTCTGAGGACAGGGATGTAGAAATGAAGTTTATTGAATATAACAAGAAGAAAAAAGCTTAATCTATAATTTCACTACAACTAGTGACCACAACTGAGCCTAATTTTTTTGTTGTTAGAAGGTCACAAAAGGGGATCACGTGACCCCCAGGGCACAACACAAACCAGTTGCCTGGCGTCTGAATTTGTATCATCTAACCAGGGGGAAACTGCAATGGTCGTGTGAAAAATAGTCATAAATCACTTTTTTTCAGTGCCGTTGTAACTTTGAACTGTCGCTAAATGAACTGTTGTAGGTCAAGGACTATTGTTTCTATAGATGTCAGGTTCTGCTTTCAATAATAATAATAATAATCATAATAATAATAATAATAATGATGATGATGATGATGATGATGATGATGATGATGATGATGATGATGATGATGATGATGTTGGAAGGTACCTTGGAGGTCATCTAGTCCATCCCCCTGCTCAGGCAGGAAACCCTATACCATTTTGGACAAATGGCTGTCCAGTCTCTTCTTAAAAACTTCCAGTGTCGGAGCATTCACCGCTTCTGGAGGCAGGTTGTTCCACTGGTTAATTGTTCCAACTGTCAGGAAGTTTCTCCTTAGTTGTAGGCTGCTTCTCTCCTTGATGAGTTTCCATCCGTTGCTTCTTGTCCTGCCTTCAGGCGCTTTGGAGAATAGCTTGACTCCCTCTTCTTTGTGGCAGCCCCTGAGATATTGGAACGCTGCTATCATGTCCCCCTTCGTCCTTCTCTTCGCTAAATTAAGTGCCCAAAAACTGGCCCCGCCCCCACTCCATCTCCTGCCGTGACCCTGCTCCGCTCCCACACCATCCCCAATCCCGCCTTCAGGGCCCACCACAGATCGCCCAGGTAGCCCAGCAGCACCATGGCAGCCACACCCTCTGCCCGCACCCTGCAGCATCAACTGTGCGCGATGGGGCGTGAGGGCAGAGTCTTGCCTACACTGCCTGGCTACCATGTCCTTGGCTGCGCTGCTCCGAGTGGCGACTCTCCTTCAGGGGCTGCTGGTGAGGAGGGGGTCACGGGAGGAGGCAAGGCTGGGGCAATGGCACGTGTGCCCACAGAGAGGGCTCCGAGTGCCGCCTCTGGCACCTGTGCCATAGGTTCGCCACCCCTGCCCTGCAGGATTCAGAATACCTGCATTTTAATAACTCTTGAAAGATATAACCACAGCCCACATAGTACTGGAGTTATGGTGGTAGAGCAGCCCCTGGAGACCTGAAGTTCTAATTCCCAGGTAAAGATAAAGGTCTTCCTGTCGCATCATGTCCAACTCTAGGGCATGGCGCTCTATCTCTGTTTCTTGGCTGAGGGAGCCAGCATTGTCCAAAGGCATTTTCCATGATCATGTATCCAGCATGGCTATACACCAGAGGTGTATAGAACGCTGTTATTTTTCCACTGAAGGGGTACTTATTTATCTATTTGGATGCTTTCAGACTGCTAGGTGGGCAGGAGCTGAGCAGGAACGGGAGCTCATCCCATTGCATGGTGCTTGGGTCTCAAACCTGGGCGGTCAACTTTCCAGCTGACAAGTTCAGCATCTTTAACCACTGATGCCTATTCAGCCTCTTCCTACTCAGCCACAAAAGCTGAAAGTTGGTCTCTCTCTCTCTCTCTCTGTCTTCTCTCTCTCTTTCTCTCTCTCTGTCTTCTCTCTCTCTTTCTCTCTCTCTCTCTCTCTTTCTCTCTCTCTGTCTTCTCTCTCTCTCCTCCCTCTCTCTGTCTTCTCTCTCTCTCTCTCTGTCTTCTCTCTCTCTCTCTTTCTCTCTCTCTTTCTTCTCTCTCTCTCCTCCCTCTCTCTGTCTTCTCTCTCTCTTTCTCTCTCTCTGTCTTCTCTCTCTCTCCTCCCTCTCTCTGTCTTCTCTCTCTCTCTCTCTGTGTCTTCTCTCTCTCTGTGTCTTCTCTCTCTCTCTGTCTTCTCTCTCTCTTTCTCTCTCTCTCTCCTCTCTCCTCTCTCTCTGTGTCTTCTCTCTCTCTCTCTCTCTCTGTCTTCTCTCTCTCTTTCTCTCTCTGTCTTCTCTCTCTCTCCTCTCTCTCTCTGTCTTCTCTCTCTCTGTCTGTCTTCTCTCTGTGTGTGTCTTCTCTCTCTCTCTGTCTTCTCTCTCTCTTTCTTTCTCTCTCTCTCTGTCTCCCCCCCTCTCTCTCTCTCCTCTCTCTCTCTGTCTTCTCTCTCTCTCTCCGAAGCAGAATAACTACATTCTGTAACAGCTTTGTACCATATAATATCAACCTTGTGAACTCCTCAAGTTTCCTCTTTCCACTATGTATTCAGAATGAACAGTAATGGGTGTGTGTATGTGTGTGTGTATAAGTATATGTATAGGTATATAGCATTTATGTTGTGTATGGGCATGGGTGGATATATACTTTTTTTGAGAGCAGGCAATAAAATTTCATTTTTAATGTGGGTCAGTATGCTCACAGTAAAAAATGACAGTAAAGGTTATCTTATCTTATCTTTTCTTTTCTTTTCTTACCTCATCTCATCTCTTCTTTTCTTACTTCATCTCATCTCATCTCTTCTTTTCTTTTCTTTTTTCTTATCTCATCTCATCTCATCTTATCCTACCTTATCTTATCTTATCCTGTCTTGTCTTGCCTTGCCTTACCTTGCTTTATCTTCTTATATTATATTATCTTATCTTGTTTTGTCTTATCTTGTCTTACCTTATCTTGCCTTAACTTGCCTTACCTTACCTTATCCTTCCTTCCTCCCTTCCCCTCCATCCTCCTTTTCCTTTCCTTTCCTTTCTCCTTTCCTCCCTCCCTCCCTCCCTCCCTCTCACCCTCTCACCCTCCCTCTCTCCCTCCCTCCCTTCCTTCCTTTCCTTCCTTTCCTTCCTTCTAACTTTCCTCTCCTTCACAAGGCAATGGGTATTACCATATTTTCATTCTATTCAGCTGTACCTCTTTTTTCACACCTAGGCATGAACCTCTGTTCCATACTGGACCATGCTTAGGGCATTTTCTTCTTTTTGTAAGTAGAATTATCCTTTAATCTGATGGAAAACAAATTGCTTTTGACTTCTACTTTCAGGAGACCGAAACATGGATCAGTGCACTTGCACAGCTTCTCACATTACCTTAGTCAGAAAGTGTATCTTTCATTGCCCGGTCTTTGTCCCATGATTCTGCAGCCTCCTGGCCTTCCTGCATTTCAATCAAGTTCTAAGAGAAGGTCTTGGTATTCCCACCCACCACCTCCCCGGGGTCAGGAAGCAAGGACAGCTGCAAAAATTGCAGCGCAGGGACATGCAATACAAACATTCTCATTACGTTACCTTTTACCACTTTGCAATCCTCGGGTATATTCAAACATCTGTAAAATCTATTTATGAAATCTGAGAATAATCTATGGATAGAGGAGCTTTGGGGAAAGGGCAGTAAAGAGAAAGTCCAGGAAAATGAAAGTTTTCAAGTAAATATTTTCAACAACAACAAAAAAAGCTGATAGCTTTGTTTTCCAGGGACCAAATTTAGGCATGTCAGGACCATTGTTGACTGCTTGCGTAGTCTCCCAAGTAGAAACAAAGGATCAGAAAAGTTTTCTGATCTAGATTTTTTTTCCAAATACACAATAGATTTCTTTAATTTATATAGAAGAAGATCATGTATCATATATACACGAGGAAAGAACATTCAGAAACGGTCCTAACCATACGCAGATGACTCCTTGCAGTAATTCATAATAATAACAACAATAATTCAATGCTGCAGGACACTTTGAAGTAGACAATAAGCAGTTCATATGGAAGAAGATAAGATAATGAAGTCCTTTACTCAGGGAACCATTGAAGAAAAGAATGAGTAGCATGAGCTCTTCAAAAGAGCCATGAAACCAACTTGAGGATTAAGTGATATTCTCAAAATAATTCTCAGACGAAAGATACAAAAATCTCGTGAACATTTGGATCACATTACATTCCAATCATGACACGATATTTAAATTCTGCTGCAAAGTGCAAATATTCAAAGAACAGCTTTCCTTTTTAGCCAGGCCCATGAAAGCAACCAAATAAATTACCAGTTGTGACCCCCCTCTTTCCTACACACAGGAGAACATCTCTGATGCTAATTGGTTCATAGTGCTTTTGATCTCTTTATCAGATGTTCTCAAGACAGTCAGTGAGACAGCTTGCTTAGAGTTTGGTTAAGGTTCCTCCCTCCCCAAAATAATTTCTCATTCTGGTCTGCGTAGCAGGGTTGATAACAGTCTTGGGTTGTACTTCCTCTCCACTAAATTCAAGAGATGTCTGTCTGAGCCACTTCTAAATATTATCTGCCTGTTGTGGACCTTAAATATGTTTCACTCCCATCATCCTGGTAAGGGAACTTGCAAACCTCTGTCAAAGTCATCTTCCTTATTCCCAAACCTATTCCCCACCCACTCAGGTGTGTACACAGTTTCCCTGTCAATAAACAGGAAGAAAATGTCAGGAAGCCAGTTGGTCTATCTCCTTGCGTTCTGCAGCGTTCCAAACCTTGCAGTCCATTAGTGTTTGGTGAAGGATGAGATCCAGGTATTGTTCGTGGCTTGACATAACTCTGCTTTGGAGAGGTTAGAAGTCTTTTTAGAGGCAGTGATTAACCGTGGATGTCCAGGCAGAATGGTTACACCTGCTGTCCTGGAGCAGAGGCGGCATGCCATCGCTCACTTTGAAGTGGCTCAGTGAATTCATTAACCTAGAAGGCATTGAAAAGTTATAACTGTAGAGCCCATAAGGAGGGTGCAAGGCACAGTTTAAAGTTTCTCGGGCAACGGGCGCGGATGGGAAAATATTTCCAGATGCATGCAAGCCATACAACATCTGGCCAGCAGAACTGGGCCCTTGGGACACCACTCCCTCCAGATCTTCTGCTTTGCCACTTCTGACATTGCCAATGCTCAGAGACGACAAAGTGGGCACCTCCACCATGAAGTGGGGCAGAAAGTGAGGACCAGGGGCACTTCCCAACTTATGATGGCTTGGGAACATTAGGGACGGCTGTCTTAAAAGGTTGGTAGGGCAAATCTTGTAGCAGATGGGTAGACCAAGGTGGTGCAGGTAAGAATCTGGGCAGGGCATGCCAAGATTGGTTGCGGAGAGGTGAAAGGTGGGAGGAGAACCCGCAGAAGAAAGGAGAGAGCTGAGAGGTGATGGGGTTCCCCCAGAGGGCGTTGCAGGAGACGAGCTGGAACTTCCACCTAGGATAAAGCAAATAAAATGACATTATGAGGTGATAACAAACCCAAGAGAATTTTGTTCTCCACCTTTTATAATACTCAGGATCATGGAAGTTAGAAACGTTGGTAACGATGAGGGAGAACTTGAGATGTTTGCAATCATGGTCCCCTTGGAAGGTCCCTTTTCTTTAGATGGCGAAGTATTCCCAGACATTGAAGTCTCTCCACTCATCCAAACTGGTCAGCCAAAAAGCTTATAAACATTTCCTGTTCAGGCCGAGTTGCTATCCTAATCTTCAAACAAATATACTAGCTCAGGGGTAGGCAACCTTGGCTCTTTTATGACTCGTGGACTTTAACTCCCAGAATTCCTGAGCCAGCCATGCTGAGGGGAAAGGGAGAGGTTTCCAAGCTGAGTCATGCTGGCTGAGGAATTCTGGGAGTTGAAGTCCACGAGTCATAAAAGAGCCAAGGTTGCCTACCCCTGTACTAGCTTCCAAAAAAAATGTAATTTTCCTCAGAACTGAAACAGGGACAGCAAATATTATAGACCTACTGTAATGTATGCAGATAGCCCTTATGACTGTAATGGAGACTGGAATTTCCATTGTAAGTCATGATAGTCGTAAGTCAAGCAGCCATGTGACCGACACGATTTTGCAACTGTTTTACGGTAGTCATTGAGCCAACACCTTGGTTGTAAACTGAAGCTGGCAATTATTAATCAAGTCAAATGCGTTCCTTTAGCTGCGTTCCAGCTAAAAATGTGATTTTTGGCAAAAATCATCATAAATCGTGTCAT